GAGCCACCCAGGTGCCCCAAATTATGCCATTTTTATAGTAATGTTTACATGGTATTTTCTCCTAACTCACACTAAATACCTTTCCACATTCATAACCAAACTCTTATAGGGATAACTATATTTTTCCCCATGATGTAAATATGATTTCATGCACTTTGTCCTTCCTAAATCTAATATTCTCTCCCTGAATCTACTAGCTTCTAAGTGCATTTCCTTGCTAAGGTTCCCGTACACAAAATAGCTAGATACCTACCTTGTAGATCCAGCCCTCTCCAATAAAAGTCAGATAGCTTCCTTCCAAGATATTCTCTGCCATATCTGAAATCCCCAGTGTCTAGCAGAAACTCCAACTCCTTCCATTCGTATCAAGACCCTTATAGTTTCTAGGAAGTGTCAAAGGGTTGTTGCTTCCTTCTGATAATAATCCAAAACTCTAAAAAATATACTGTCTCTGGCTCCTTGACCCCAGCAAAATGTCTTTCCTTTAAACATCTCAGGGAATTTTGTTTTGTTGCTTTCATTAAATAAAATATCTTGTGGTGCTATTTGTCATTTTACATTCATACATATTCAGATATTTTTGTGTTTATAGCTGCAGTGGGGGCCTCACTGGGTAAATGACAAGCCTCTGATCAAATAAATTAGACAGTTGTCTCAACTAACTCATCTGACAGAAAGTAAATACACAGAAAGTAAACATCTGGATGTTGACCCAGATATCCCCATTCTCTCAATATGAGGTGATATCAATGTGTTTTAGTGTTAATAAGCCTTAGGAAGCAGTAAGTTTTCTATATTTTTCTTGTACCATGTTATTTTTTTAGGTCGGTTCTCTATATTCTCTGAAACATAAGTGTCTTAAAATTTGCAACTGTAGAAAACAACTATCTGGTATTTCACTAGCCCATAGGTTATTATGAGAAACTGTTGGTAAATGGAATTCTACTGCTCTGATCAAGGGGAACAGTTGAGTTTGGGAGGTTGATTTTAGCAGATATGCAGATATTTTGAGCAGATGTATAGTTTTCAGATCTTTTTTCAAGAGAGCTCAGAGATGTGAATGATTGTCAAAGATCTATGTTTAACTGCCTGTACTTTATTTACTTCAACCTAAATCCTTATCACATTGAGAAATTTCAGTTATTGCAACTTTCAGAAAGAAAAACAAACTTTATTTTTATTTACTGAGAAAAACTAGAACTAGAATAATATTTTTTCTTATTATCACCTTAATGTTTATAAATTCAAAATAGAAATAAGGTAAGAATACAGGAAGAATAAAGAGGTGGAAAATACTTTTTTAATTTGTCAAATTTTGTATAAACTTTGAGATCTTCAAAGACAGGGGTTATGTTTTACTGATCTTTGGAATCCCCACCCAGTCCAGTTATAGCAGATAAAATTTTCTCAGTGTATGTTTGTTAACTTAATCACTGGATTTATGTCTTTCCTCTGATCTTATTGAGGGCAAACACTGTAGTCCACTTATGTTCTAGTCACGCATAGCAGCTAGATGAAATTTTACATAAGGGTTTAAACTTTTCACAGCCAGGATTAAACACATCCTCTTTCCTCTATTACCTTTCCATATCTGCACTTACTTCTGCTTGGGGGTCAGTGAGGATGGCGCTGAAAGTGGAGTTTAGGGTAAGATTGACTGGGAACAAGTCCTAGCTTATCTCTGTGACACCTTGGATACATTGATTGCTATTTCTGTGATTTTATTTCCTCATCTGTAAAATGGGAATTATAATAGTTGTTGCTGTAAAAATAATAGATTTTTGCATGTAAATCACTTAGCACTCTTTCTGGCATACAAAAATAGTCATAAGAACAAAGTATTATAAATTCTAATTGTGTTAAAATGATAAGTCTCCCAGTTAACCAAAAACCAAATGTTAACCATTCATTAGCAATTTATCAAACAAGTGTCAATTATATAACAGAAATTCTGCTATCCATTAGATTAACTAAAAAAGAAAATAAAGCAAAAAAAGTGTGGATAATTTTATAAGGAAAATAATAGGAAGCTATGAAATCTGAAAGTAGAGGTCCCTAAGGATAGGGAACTATGTTCATTGAGAAATTATATCATGACTAAATGCTAACTTCTGTCAAATTATTTTTCTGCACCTATGGTGATCATATTTTTATTAGACTTTTGGTATGGTGAATTATATTAATTGATTTTCAATAGTGAACTACCACCATGAATTCCCCACTCAGTCATTTCATATTATCTTTCTATATATGGCTTGATTTGCTAGAATTTTAAAAAAAATCATAAAGGAGTTTGCTCTTTTTTTTTTTTTAATGTCTCCATGTGATTTCAGTATCAAAGTGATGCTGGCCTCATAGTATAAGGTGGGAAGTATTCTTTTTTTTCAATTTTCATGAAGAGTTGGTGCAGAGTTGCTATTAATTTTTCCTTCAATATTTGGTAGAATTCACAGGTAAAGTCATCTAGCCACAGAATTTTTCTTGTGGGAAAATTTTATTTTATTTTTTCAAGATTTTATTTATTTATTTGAGAGAGAGAGAGCGAGAGCACAAGTGGGTGAGGGTCAAAGGGAGAAGTAAACTTCCTGCTGAGGAGGGAGCCTGATGTGGGACTCAATTCTGGGACTCCAGGATCATGACCTGAGCCAAAGGTAGACACTTAACGACTGAGCCACCCAGGCACCCAGAAGATTTTAAACTATAAATTCCATTTACTTAACAGATAGAAAGTTTTATCAGGTTACATATTACCATTTGCATGAGCTTTGGTAGTTTGGGTCTTTTAAAGAGTTTCTCCAGGGGCACCTGGGTGGCTCACTTGGTTGAGCATCCAACTCTTGATTTTGGCTCAGGTCATGATCTCAGGGTGGTGGGACTGAGCTCCGTATTGGGCTCCATGCTGGGTGTGGAGCCTGCTTGAGATTCTCTCTCTCCCTCTCTGCCCTTCCCACACTGCTCTCTGTCTCTAAAAAAAAAATTAAAGAATTTCTCCATTGCATCTAGGTTGCTGAATTTATTGCCATTAAGGACATTAAGGACATTCCTTTTAAAAGGAAAACCATATTTCCCCTGTTCACAACACTTCTGACACCAAATATGTGGGATTTTTTTTTCCATTCCAACCAATTCTTCAACTCTTTGGACACCAATCAGATGTCCTATAATTCATTTATGACACTAACTGCCCAGAGGTAGCACAAAGCTCACCATTTAAGGACTCAGTCCCACAAGACTGCCCCCCACCCCTACTACAGATGCCAGTCCCAAGTACCAAGTTGTCTCTTATATTTCTTACAATATATTGGGGGTCCCAACATCCCACTCCTCAGGTTTGATAATTTGTATAAATACTCTCAGAACTTACAATGAGCAGTTCATTATAAAGAACAGGATAAAGGATTCATATGAACAGTCAGATGAAAAGATATGTAGGGAGCGACCCAAAGGGGCCTGAGCAAAGGAGTTTCTGTTCCTATGGAGTTGGAGTGTGCCACTCTCTCAGCATGTAGATGTTTTCACCAACGCAGAAGAAGTCCGAACCCCATAGTTTAGGGACTTTTACGTAGGCTTCCTCACACGTGAATAATTATATTATTAACAACCAGCCCCTCTCCCCTCCCTGGAAGACAGGGATAGGACTGCAAGTTCTAATCTTCTAATCATGGCTTGGTCTTTCTGATGACTAGTCCCCATCACAAAGCTATCTAGAGGTCCCCAACCCCCAGTCATCTCATTAACATACAAAAAACACTACTATCACTCCAAAGAGTCCAAGGGTCTTAGATGTTCTTGTGCCAGGAACCATGATCAAAAATCAAATATTAGAACAAAACATGCTCCTAGCTGCCTATACTAAAGAAACTGTAAGGGTTTTAGGTGCTCTGTGCCAGGAACTGGGGACAAGACCCAATATATTTCTTATTACTCTATACTAATATTTATAGAATGAGCAGGGAGATCATTTTTCTCATTCCTGGTACCAGTAATTTGTGTCTTTTTCTTTTGGTCTTGATGAATCTCACTAGATATTTACCAATTTTATTGATCTCAAGGAAAAATAAATTGTTTTATTAACTTTTCTATCAATTTTCTACTTTCTATTCAATTTATTTTTTTCTTATATATGTTATATCCTTTTATTCTATTTACCTTGAGTTTAATTTGCTGTTTTTTCTAGTTTCTTAATTTGGAAGTTTAGATCATTAATTTTCTCTATAGTTTTCTTTACTTGTAACATCTTTACATCTGGTTATGGTATTAGGACAATGCGGATCTCATATGATTTAGAAAGCATTTCCTCAGTCTCTATTTTTTTTTTTTCAAGTTGTAAACTTTTTATTACAAATTAAAAATGAGGTTCTTAAAAATCTCAACTTGACCAGATATGAAACAATTTAAAAACCTTTAAAGGTGTATTGAGAAAAACCAGGTTT